TTACATGAACTCCAGTATGAACGGTCGAATTAAATACAGAAACATACCAACTGTTATACACCTACACTTAACATACAGAAAACAACACCCACCACCCGGATCATGGAGGAGAAGGGAAATTTGGAATGGGACTAATGGATCAAGAAGGAAAGGGACATTTTGGGAAAAGGGAAATATATGGTCTGCTACCGGTCCGAAGAATAGCACTAGTTCTTTTTCCACGCCAACCTTTGAGAGAACAAGTTCACCAAGTTGAAGAACAAAGTGTAAAAAAATAGTGAACAGTCAAATACGGGTGGAAAAAACAAAGCTGCCTAATCTATTGAAACCGTAGAATCAGGACCCATTGAGTTTTACCTCAAAACCGGCTGTAAAGCCTGAGTCAGGCCACGGTCTGTGAAATCAGCCCGAGAACGCACTAGGCCAGGTAGTGCTCGATCGACCGGCTATACGTGCCAACGAGCCGACGTTCAACCTTGGTAGGAAACCTGGTACCGCGAGGAGTTCGCAGCTACAGAACCTCGTGCCATCCTGCACTGATACCACTGTCCGTGGCAATCGTGCCATTCATCGCACTCAACCAGCAGTCCCCTGCGTCCAGCGGAAGTGACGCCGACGCCGCCGACGTGCAGCAATATCAGCGATCATCCGATCGCACTCGTAGCCACCCCGTCCGATTCCCCGCAGCAGAGATCTACGTGCCGGCCGGCCCTTACACACACACACACACACACACACACCCCCAGAATTTGTAAGTAGGTTTTAATTAATAAAAGTTAAATAGTGAAAGATTAGGTGACCGTGTTTGCATTTGCTGATCAGTGTCCCCTATTTGTCCGGAGCCGACCTTGAGAGCTCCGTCTCTCAAGCTCGAGCTAGTCGCTGCAAAAGAGGCTGGTGGATAGCCCACCCCGTCTGGTCCCCGTGGCTTTAGACCAGGGACCTGGGGCATTGTAGTCTTAGAGCACACGCGGTGAGTAACATGTGTCATCATTTTTTTTTTAATTCGTTTTAATCTTTGATCAGAATTTTTAATGAACCATCAGAATGTAAAATAATAATTTTTCAAACTTTTTAATACGCAGTTATGAGAAAAGTTAAACAAATGTATGAAATTCAAGAAAATATTTGTAGTTTTAATTGTTTTCTGTTGGTAATGATGATCAAGATTTGCATTCTGTTAAGAAAGACAAAAATTTGTTACATATTTTTTAAAACATAATTATTTTAAGATTTTAATGGTGTTAAATCGTAAAATCACCGGCACCGGATCCTAATTCATTTAAATTTATGAAGGCGGTAAATAACAAACATCCCTCTATGCAGTGGTAGCAATGTGATCCACACGCAACACGAACAGCGAATATTGTTGCCTTCATCATTCTGTATGTTTTTAAGTTTTTGTTTTAGCATCACTGTATTTTTGTTTTGTTTTTGAATTGATCGTTATTCTGTGATATTTTGTATTGTTCCAGTTAGCTATATAAGTGCAAATATTTAATGCAATTAGATTAAGTTTGAATTTGACTTCCGATCAGGGTGCTGCCTGAAAGAGGTAATAAATAGTGAATGAGAAATGTATACTTTTACTTCATTTGAATCAGTTGCCGATCTCCAAACTGCTGTCCAAAAATCTGAGCAACAAATTAAACACAACGTAGAGCCATATCCTGGACATTATACCTTTACAAAAGTAATCTTCTAGCTTTACTCTAAGCTGTTAATTGATATTATAGCCAAGCCCGAAAGTCGCTGGTTTCCCATTAGTTTTAATTCGTTTCAGTGTGGAGAAAGATCTTTCCACACTGGATGTAGCCAGTGATGCAAAATATCATGACACTCACGTGACACTCGTCTTCGCATCAACCGACTATCGCTGACAGATCGTTTTGTCACGCTCTGAGAGTTAGAGCTATGGCAAACAACAATCACCAGTAATGGTCGCTGCTCACAAGCAAAACGTTACACTCGCTGCTGATCATGAAAAGCACAACGAAAACGAAGAATTCTGCAGTACGATGGTGAGAAAAAGCGAAGCGACAGAAGAAAATGAAAACAATGCCTACATATTCCAAGTTCGTCTCGGCAGGTGCGACTGTGTGAGTTACAAACAAAGCAGGCAACATGAAACGGAAGCTGTTGGGCTCACTCACCAACACACTCAAATAAGCAAGCAAAGCAGCAACTGCTTCAAAACGATCAGAGATGAGTGTCGTGATTGTCGGGAATGACCAGATCGGTGATGGATCACAACAGAAGATGACATTCACCGGTTGATTTTTGCTTCTTTCGTCAACTTGATGGATGGTCAGCTTCGACGAGCACATTGATAGGAATGTACAAAGCGTTACTACCATCAACTGTTTGGCGATCGTGATTGTGATAGGTTGCAACTCTGGCAACCACGCTGGTGAAATCACAGAGATAACAGTTAAGTTTGTCAAGTTGGGATGACTCTCCAATATCTGTAAAACCAGGCAACAATATTTGGAACACCGGAAGGATGTCATCATTTTTTGTGAAACGTCCCATCATGTTTTGGATCAATCCATCGAGTCATGGAATGAAAACTGCTCTTCGATAATATTCCTCTGGTGTTTCTACTGATTGATTTGCACGTATTGTTTGCTTGGATGCACGTGGATGTAGTCGTAGCTGCGCATTCGAAAACAGACATATGCAGCTTTGAGGTTGTATTATACTGTTCACATGATTAAGAGCCGGTATGAGGTCCACATATTTAGATTGTAATCCTATTGAAAGTGGTTGTGTTGAAAGATCACATTGATGTAATAAATATATAAGATGTTTGAATCTTTTTATAAACAGAAAATGCATACTTTGCCTGAAGAATAAACTTCTAATATTTAAATAAGTTTTTAGACCGGTCCTGATTTATACTGTGCTAATATGGTCTAGATCTTGCACTACCAGGAAAAAAGAACTTCAAAGGATTAAGAACAAAGTTCTGAAGATTATTTTGAAATTGCCTCCCTGGTACAGTACTACCGAAGTACATAGAATTTTGAATGTTGAGACTCTAGAACAAATCCAGATAGAGCTGGAATTAGGGCGTAACAGCTTTTGTAAACAATGAATTCTCTCGTCGATTTCTAGCAACTCAAGGCACCCCTACACAAATCAACTTATCCATCGGGTAGGGAAAGTCTTCCCCTATTCGATGGTAATGTTGATTTGCCAGGAAGAGCCATGTCTTTCGAAAAATCATCGAGAGAATCCATTGTTTACAAAAGCTGTTATGCCCTAATTCCAGCTCTATCTAGAAATGTCCAACAAAATAATTAATAATTTTAGGGAAAAATCGTTGCAATCTTCGGATACTTTTTCGGGAACGTTTGTTTTTTCGTTGATGCATACACCATTTTTTTGCCTAGTATACTTCTTCGCGAAATAATTGGCCAGAAAGTAGAATCGTTTTTGCTCTACTGCTTTCTCAGCTAAATCTCCTGCCTCTCGTGTTGAATCATCAGTTGCGAATTCACTCTGATTCAAAAATGGGTTTATCGTATAGTTGACAAGTATTGAGCAGTCTGGAGCATCCGACTTGTTTGAAAGTTCGTCTTCGGCAAATGGGTCCTCATCCTGGCCAGCATTATACAGCGGGTCCTCGATTAGGTATTCCACTTCTTGGTCTACTTCCTCATCTGAATCCTCGTCTCGCTGGTCCATTGCTAACGTCCTGTCTAATGTACAAAACTGTGAATTAAATACGGGAGTTATCTGATATGTGATAGAAAGCAATATTTATTAATATATTACCGTTAATCATAGCCTCAATGAGATAATTTTCCTCAAAAACATTCGAAACCGAGATCGAATCAGATATCCTTTTACATTTTTGTCAACTGTTTATTTTGGTTCTCATCATCGAAGCAAGGGTTGCCAGTGGCTCTGAAATATTTTATATTTACTTAATAAATTGTACTTGTGACAAAAAAAACAATCCGGCAACCTTGATGCGGTGCTTGGTTTCAAAGCTGTGTTTTTTGGTGCGGTGAACAAGTTTCAGAGAATGACCCAATATTTTTATATCTAGTTGTAATCAGTTAAATCTCACCGCTCCTTGCTGCTGAATCTTTGTCATCTCGATTCTCGTTGAATCCTGTTGAATAATAGGCATCTGTAGTGGAATACTCTTCTCTCTCTTTCTCTATCACATTTCGATGTTTTTAGTATGTCTTCTTGAATATTGTAACCGTTATCAATTGAATAATGACAATGCCAGCACTATCTATCCCGGTTATTGATCGGGGGGGCAGAACGCCAACACCAAAAACATAAAATTTTCTTCTGGAAGCGGAGGCAAACACGCGAAAAGAAAAACCCACCGAAGCCCAAACCAGCTAGCACGACACTACAGCAACAGTTCTATTTGTACCAAGTTCTTGTCCGGGAGTATTCACAATATTGTTCAGAATCTTCATTTATTCACATTTTCTTTTTGCATTGGAACCAGCCAAAAAGCACGCCGAAAACACAAAATTTGTGACAGCAAATTTAAAACGAACCGTTCTAGGACAGAGCCTACTGCGCGCACCAGGTATTATTCTGAAGATCAACTGCACAGCAAAAAAATAATTTTGATATCACATCAAAGTGGATGCACTACAATCATGTCGAAAATTTCATGTAATTTTTATGACCACATAAATAAACAAATGCAGTAAAAGCAGCGTAATGTCAGTTCATGCATTGTATTAATGATAATTTTGTCCTTTTTAGCAAGTAATATTACACCATATTTTCGACATGATTGTAGTGCATCCACTTTGACGTGATATCAAAATTATTTTTTTGCTGTGTGCAGAATAATTCAAATCATAACTCTCAAATATTCTCTGGTTGCTCACAAATTATTGCAATGACCTCAAGGTGATCAGACATCTCCAAAAAGCCCTCAAGACGAGGGGCACGCTCTTCCAGTCTCGCTTCCAGGTATGAGTGCGAGATACTTAAAATATATCTCGTTTTTATGGCTTTCTCAGTCTAGGGTAATTCAAACAGTTAGTTTTGCATTGCCCGACGTTTCGGCCGTTTATTGTGGCCTTTTTCAAGGGTAAACTAGAAAAATATTACAACTTATAGCGACTACTACTAACATTAAACATTGATATAACATGAACATACACAGTCTACCGTTTGTCGTCAAATTTTTTTGTTTGTTGCCACGATAAGCGTGTTTAGCTTGGAGGAGCTTCCTGTATGGTGCCTATATTTTAAATGTTGTTAATGTACTATTTCGCGGTATTTTGTTTTACTGGACTTACATTGAGTTTAATATAAATTAACATAGGACACTATATGACACTACACTATACAACGGTTATTTTGAAGAAGATGGTGGGATAAAGCATATACAAAAGTAGATAAAGCTCATCTATGTCGACTCGTTCGTGCTTTGTTCAACTTGACTGTGTGTATTGTTTCGTGATCGTTCTCTGCGTGAGATATTAGCTTTCACGGTATGGAGAATACCAGCGTACGTTGTGTTTAGCCCCGCTACATCTGTTCTATAATTAACGGTGTTAGATGTGTTGTTTATATGACACATTTCTAGCATCGATAAAGCAGAACTTCGGTAGGTGCGATCGATTATTTTTGTTCCTTCAAGATCGAACGTGTGCTGGTGATCTGCTATGTGTTGTATAAGTGCGGTTTTCGCATGGATGTGCTGTGTCGTTTGTAGGATTTCTGCGAGTTTATTTATATTGGATTTGTGTCCACTTAATCGTTTTTTTAAGTGGTTTGTGGTCATACCAATATAAACTTTTTCGCAATTCCTACATGGGATGCTGTAGATGACGTTGTGTTGTTGTTGTGTTACTATTGGATCCTTTATCGGTTGTAGGAGTGTTTTGGTTGTTTTGATCGTTCTTGGAGCTATTTTTACTGTAGGGTATTCTGTTTTTAGGATTGCGGCAAGTGCTGCCGTCAAGATTGGGATGTTTGGCATTGATCGGTATTTTAGTTGTTCCGAAATTTGGTTGTTGTTTTCGTGTCGTACATGGGCCGTGGAAAGCTGGACTGAAGGTGAACTATTGGTGTGATGCTCCAGCTTTCCACGGCCCATGTACGACACGAAAACAACAACCAAATTTCGGAAAAATAATACCGAGTGATATGAGATCACCTTGAAAACCTCAGGATTTTCAATTATGCAGCAACTTGAATGCTTCCTTATACCGTATGCGTGATAATGTTTGCTCCATTGAAAAATGTCAAAATTAAAAAAATTCTCAAAAATTTAGTTTTTGAGTTTTTTTTTTATTTTTCAAAGGGGAGATGTTTCTCAGAGTCTTAAACTATGTTAATCATCGATCGAGAATCCACTTGCTACAATTACGGCCTCCACACGCTTCCGGAATGCACGGCAGGTTCTAATAATGTAGTCTGGATCCATTTCTCTCCAGGTACGGGTCAATGTTTGCCTGAGGCTTGCTGTACTTGGGTGGCGTTTAGAACAGGTCTTGGCCTTCATGACGTGCCATATTGAGTAATCCAGCGGATTAAGATCGGGGCTGGATGGCGGCCACATATCCTTCGCCCAGAACGGAAGATGTTCCTGCAACCACTTCTGAGTGCGGTTCGAGGTGTGGCACGGAGCCCCATCTTGTTGAAATACAACATTTGGCTTCGGACCGTACTGTTCTTTGAGCCACGGAAGAACATACTTACTTAAAATCCCGATGTAGACCTCCGTGTTGCCCTTGTCGCCTTCTGGAATGAACATCGGGTCCATTTTTTTGCCATCGGAAGCCACCAATCCAAACACCATAACGCTAGCAGGATGCTTGGTCTGGTCAGATACACGTTATTGTGCTCGTCGGCCACGTCTTTTACCGGAAAAGAACTAATAAACCGGTCGGTTGTGGAATTTGATACGGGATCGACGGTAAACATGCTCTCGTCGGTGAACAGGATTACCGGATTTTTTCGCTTAAGGAAGTTCAAGATTTTCTTGCATCGTTCGACTCGTAGCTCCCGGATGCGGTTGGTAATCATGTGAGTTTTTTTGTCCGTGCCCTCGACTTCGCCCCGCAATCTTCCTTTACGATCTTCCATGCCGTAAAGTCACTGATCCCGTGTTCATTTGCCATTTTCCTTATTGAACGCACTGGATTCACCCGAATCTTCCTTTTGATAGCAGCGATAACCCTCGGAAACCGAGCTGACCTCGGACGACCTGTGGCCACCTTCGCGGATAGTTGTCCTTTCTTTTATCGGTCTAAAACCCTTTTGCCGGTCCACCGAGACACTCCCACGGCGATTGAAATGTCTTTTTGCGACATTTGCGCGTGGGACAAATCACGAATACGCTGCCACTTCGTCATGGTGCAACTGTCAAACTAAGAAATCATTTTCTTTTATACACAGCCTACTACGGTATGAGCTATAGGTTACGTGCATGCAAAGAAAACCAAGGCATTGTATGCACAGGTGAAACGGGAACCAAACATTATCACGCATACGGTAGATCAGGATGCTATGGTATGATCACTTCAGGATGCCTTCGTCATCTTATTTTTCTGTATCACTTTGTTTATCTTTACCAAGCACACATTGGCTCAAAATGGTTCAAATGTATCAATGGTTACGGAGGGTTATTCCAAGAGTCGAAATGACTGTTGTAACTAGTGAAGTGAGAAAAGTCACGTCACCACGCCGTGACTTTTCGCACTTCACTGGTGACCAAAGTTTTTTCGACTTCCGGAATAACCCCCACTTACTCAAATCCAATACTACAGGAAACAGCTCTATAAACTTCTCAAAAGATCTGTAAGTTTATCAGAAGTTTTTTGAATTTCTTACAAGTTTCTTTAAACTTTATTTCAAATCTGTGTACGATGCAAAAAGTTTTAGTTAAAGTATATGAGCTTCTCACAAGTTCGCATGGTGTACCCAAGTAACACAACGTTATGCAATTATGTTGAGGAAACTTCTTTAAAACCAGATGCAGTTATGCGGCTTTTGGAATGTTTGTTAGCAGTTCGAAAGTTCCACAAACTACTTAAAAATGCCATGAACTTCTCCATGAACTTCTCGGATGAAGTCGATTGTGAATATTTCTGACTGTTCAAGTCACGTCTTTGACCAAAGATTTTTTAAAGACTTGATCGGAAATTGGGTTGTTCAATTCCGAAAAGTATACCGGTTTTTAAACATCATCTGAAAGAGCTTCAATTTCTGAGCACAATGCTATTTTTTGCGATCCTATAGACATTTATCTCGATTTTTAAATGAAAAGTAAAATATTTAGACACTTAAATGTATTAGTTGACAGCTCGCTCCTACACAAAGTCCCGCCAAGAGGCACTTGCATGGTGATTTTTGCTAATGTAATGCACTTATTTAAATTAGTTCCGACCAGTGTGCAAAAATTGATTACATTTTCGATTTCGGTTCCATTTTAAATGCAGATTACGAATACGCATTTACCTGAACACGTCCAAACTCTAATTATTCTGAAGAACTTTGATTATTCAAAAATCCAAATCACGTCTTGCAGATATCCTCAGAATATCGCAGATTGTTCAGGGATTATTCAAATGATGATACAAGAATGATCAATTCTTCGAGCTCAAACCAAAATCAAATGTTCCACTATTATCGTAACATCGTTGGAAATTTTAAACGGATTTCTGATGTTTTTTTCATGTTAAAATTGACATTATTTTTTATTTCTTATGAGTCAATTGGTCATGTCAAACAAGTTTGTTAGTGAGAGAGAGAAGGAGTAGTAATTTCCATTTAATTCCACTACCTTATTTGCTTATCCTTGACAGATACGCGTATTTCGTCTACAATGTGCAGACTTCTTCAGTGTCTTGTGCTAATACTCGACTAGTCGAGTGTTAGAGTAAGTCGAGTATTAGTACAAGACACTTAAGAAATCTGTACATTGTAGACGAAATACGCGTATCTGTCAAGGATAAGCAAATAAGGTAGTGGAATTAAATGGAAATTACTAATCCTTCTCTCTCTCTCATTATACAGGTATTCCACTAAGACGCCCACATTCATCAGGAAGTTTGTTAGTTTAATTTTTGATATTTGTTTTCGATTCGCGCTCAAAATTGCTCGTACATAATGTTACGCAATGCCGAATTATGCTCGAATATCTAGTACTACCTTAAGCGTTTCACTCGTTTCGAGATCGATTTGAAATCGGTAATGTCAAATGTGGTCGAAACGAAAAACAAATACTCGAATCGAGATGCGCAATGCTACTCATGGATTTGTATTTTTACGTTTTAAAGCTCCGCGTTTTAAAACCGTTTCACTGAGAGTCGGAATAGTTGCAAAATTGGATGATTACAGTAGTGATTCTTAAACACACAGGCGCTCGCAAAAATGAGTTTGTATGTTGTGGGATTTTTCAACTTGACTTCCACCTTAAGGTGTGCAGAGTAGAATACCCCTTGTACGGCGCCCTTATTACATAATCCGTTCATGTCACGAAACATTGCCAGTCGGTAATAGAATCTTACATTTCCCGGTTGGGTGTACAAGTTCACCAACTTATCCAAGATCGGATTATCTAAACTCTGCAGCGTTTGAATTGTCTTGCCAATTTTTCACATGCTTATAAATAGTTACTTTTAGGCTCTGAACCATTTGCCGAGTTAAATTTAACTCGTGGTTAAAAGTGACATTTCGAAAGTTATTTTCTATGTTCGAAAATCCCCGTGCTGTCGATCGACCGGTTTTCGAGCCACGGTTGTCAAAATTTAACTTCTTGTCTGTCAGAAATAACCATGCTCGGATAGCAGGGTTAATCGATAACTTTTCATCTGTCAAATTTTAACCAAAAGTTAAAATAATCCACCAAATGGTTCAGAGCCTTAGAAAGTGATTCCGGTTTCACCCAAGCTCCTTCCGTTGCTTGCCGTGGTGATCCTCATCCTTAAATGTTAAAACGTGTTTGTTTACCGTTTCCGATTTCATTGAAATTAATTGACACTGCTTCTTTCCGAGAGATCATCGAAGGCTTCGTCGAACCATTGATGTCATTGCCATTGTGATGAATGACAGCAAAACAACAACAGCAGCACTGCGTGAGAGAAGCGTGCAGAAGGTTGGTAGTATCAATTACACATAAAATGAGCTATTTATGAGCTGAAAATAGATAAATATAAAACAAGGGTAGGATAAACAACGTCTTTGTCAACTACTTTTAGCTATTATCGTTGTCAATGGTTGCTGGGTCTAATTTTAATCAGCCGTTGCCAGCAGCCATTTCGCCACTTGTCGTAAGTGGCTCATCGAATCAACCAATCGCCATCCGTCACTGATAGCCATGCACATCTGCGTGAACGTTTCAAAATACCGCTAAATATAATTACTTTGTCTCCACTCCAAGAAATTGCGGCACGAACATTCATTAAAGGATTACGGAAAATTTTCCAATTTCCACCGCTTTCGGTCGACAAGATAAAACAAAATAAAAAGAGAGCAAACCGCAATGTCATTAAGCGTAATGATCCGTGAAAGGCGAAGCCGTTATAAAGTAATTATTGCGTGGTGTTAATTAAGTTCAAAACCAGAATACGGGGCGTGGAAAATGCGACTTTCATTCAACCTGCCTATATGGCGAAGAGGGGGGAAAATCATGGCCTCCCACGGCTTGCTTACATTTTTGGTTGCTTTGTTTTGAAACGTGGCTGACGGACGATGGCAAGGTTGTCGCCTTTGATCAAAGTATGTAACTTCGTACGTGTGGTGTGTGTGTGTGAGTGTGTGTGACGTTCAATTTACGCCCTTCAAATAAAAATGCAAAACCAATTACAGTAATGATTCGATTTTGTCAACGTCAATGTCAATCTTTTCTAACGTTCTACGAAACCCATGCGGACTTATTGTACCAAAGCACACCTTAAAATTCCTCTTCAAAACAATTGAGAATGATTTGGAATTGCGATTATATCCAATTTATTGAAAGATAAAAGTCTAATGCGCAGGGTGCTGACAAAATCGGGCCATTACTGTAGTACATTAGATGTAATATTGTTTTTATCGTTAAAGTTTTCCCCTTTTGAGGTCATCGCAGGAAAAAAAAAACATTTCGGACAA